TAAATTGTTATTTTGTCATATCTTGCCCTGTCCGACGTCTCCCCTCACCCACTTTTCTGTTGTCCGTCCCCCAGGGAGGAGGTCACATATAGTTAGTTCCTTGAGGTCGCCACCTAGGTCATATCCTACATCTATCGTGTGTGTCTCTCTCTCTCTCTCTCTCTCTCTCTCTCTCTCTCTGCCCTCTCGCCCCTCTTCCCAACTCCATTTGCTGCTCCCTGCTTACATGAAGAGTAATGAATACCTGTGCACTTGGATTGTCATTTTAGAGGCAGAGAGGATTCCTTCACAGAGGTGCCCTTCATGCTTCAACAAGCAGCATCTGACTCTGACTGTCCTACGCCTGCGCTCACCGTGCTGACCCTCCACCACACGCGCATGCTTGAACCAAAAGGGGTCCTCGCACCCCTCTCCCCGCGAGTTAACCTGTGATGCAGTGAATTATGGCATGGTCTTTCAAGCCATTGTCTTTGTCACGCCTATCTAATGACTGGGTGAGACTCTAACATGGGGACTGGTCAGTTCGACCATCCCTCTGGACATAAAATGAACCATTTCAGAGCAGGGACTAGGGACCTCACTGCCGACAAGGAAGAGCCAGGAGTGGGGTGCATCTCCTGCACCTCAAGATCCCTGCAGGATACTGAGGGCTTCACAAAGCATGGCAGAGCAGCAAAGACAGCAGAGCCAAGAACCAAAATACGGAGACAGGGAGGTGGGGCCCTGGGCCACAGAGAGAATAAAGCCGAGTGCCTTTGCTGGGAGACATTTAATCCCAAGAGCACAACTGAGAGGCACTCCTGATTGGACAAACTGTATCCGAGAATTTCTGATCCGGAATTGTAACTTGTTAATTTATGCAACAAACTCTGTAACTGTGAGTACTGCAGGTAAGTTCAGTGTGGCTTTTGCAATGAACTTTCTAACCTAGCAGAGAAGCAAAGATTGCCCTGGGAGGAACGGTTGGTGTTAACATTGGCAAAGAAGGCTGGAGGGTGGAGGCCTGTCTGACTTCCGCCTCTTGAGAACTGTTTTTAGGCTGACCACTCTGCTTCTCTCTTCTATGGAGTCCTGCTGTCAGATGCTATCTCCATGCCAATACCAAATAAGGTTGCCTTTGAGATGGGAGCTCTCTGAAGTAGCCCGCGGGGGCCTTGACGTTTCATTCATGGGATTTCTGGTTTGTATTTTGGGGGGAGGGCGGGGGACGACTTAACAGTAGTCATCCTTGAAGCTATCCTTAGACAAGTTCTAAGAGACTGAGAAAATGGGACTGGACTGTTGAATGCAGGTCTTTACTCCTTTTCCCTTCTTATGGCTCCATCCGATACTAATGCACACTATCATATAACATTATACAAAGTAACTATTCGATATTCTCAAAAGCTAGACTGAATTTTGGGGGCTAATTTTTTTACTTCGGTACTTCCCCTTCATGTACTAATGGTTACAGCGGCAATATTTCCTCTAGATTTCTCCATCAGAAATACTTACCCATACTTCTCTGCAAGTTCTCTGGCTTCCTCTTCCTTGACTACCCTCTGGTCTTCCAAATCACTCTTATTTCCACATAATACTATATCAGGGTTTTCACAATATGCATGCATCTGTAGCTGGCCTATTAATTTAAGAAGATTCAAAACATGTATTATTGTTAAAGAGCAATGCGTGTCCTCATCGATGAAGAATATATGCAAAAGTGCTTTGAAAACTAATCGCACACACAGAGATGGCTAATCGATATGTCATCGTTTTCAGATACCAACATCTTATCTGTAAAACTGAATGGATGGGGCACGCAAAACTCCCATGATCCTCAAACACATACTCCACATCTTATTTGTGTCTTACCAAGCCCTCGGGTCCTTGTCAGCTCCCTCTCACATGTTCGTAGTATGCCCACAACACATACAAAAGCATACACACACACCACGCACAAATACACACAGTCCTGGTCTTTTCTCAAGAAATTTCAAGGAATTCCTAAAATTTCTTATGAACCTTAAACCTCTATTTCTCAGATCTTTTCTCACCAGGTTCAAAACAATGATCTTCCTATAAACTTACCTGTTTCTATCTGAAAAATTTCCCCCTTGTTTTGGTATTGTCCTAAGGTAGCTTCAATTCATTTAAAACAGATGATCCAAGATAAAATGAGGAGAGAAGGCCCAGGATAAATAGCAAATACTTCTGTCAGGAGAACCAACAGGAGTCAGGGGACCGTAATTCTCATTCCACAGCTTTTATTTCTTTTCACCTGACAATCTGCAATAGGCAAGTGGGGTTTTCTAATTTTGTAATTTCTAAAGCCAATGAAAATCAAACAAAAGAGCATCACTAAACAGTTTAATCTTTCCAAGGGAAAAAAGGCTTATTTCTTTTCTCCTCACACCCCATAATAAAACTAAAGCAGCTCAAATCTTCAAAAGAGATCTACTCCAAAGCATGTGGCCTAATTTATTTTTTATGACGGTTAAACAGAAAAATGTTGACATTTTAGTTCCTCAGTATAAAGTCGTGTTCGCAATATCTTATCAAGATTTGCAAGGTGATCCGGTGGTGTAGCTGGTACTAGCCACAGAACAAGGTGAGCCTAGCAGCATGTACTGGGCATTAACACGGGCCTGTTAGTTTTGTTTAGGATTGTGGGACATTCCTTTTCCCTCCTGGAGGTACTGGGCTTAACAAGGCTGTGGATAAAACCGTTTGCTGTTGAGCAATTCCAACTCCCAGTGACCTTGTAGGACAGAGTAGAACTTCCCCCATGGGCTTTTGAAAGTGGTAATCTTTACGCATCTTTCTCCCCTGAGCAACGGGTGGGCTTGAACTTCTGACCTTTTGGTTAGCGGTCAAACACCTGGTCATTGCACTACCAGGGCACCTTAGATTAAGGCTGCTTACTGCTGTCCAGTTGATGCTGATTCATAGCAGCCCTATAGTACACAGGAGAACTGCTCTTTGGAGTTTCTGAGACTTTATAGAAGCAGATAGCTTCATCTTCCGCTCGGAGCAACGGGTGGGTTCCAATCTCTTACCTGCCATTAGCTCAATGTGTAACCCCCTCTGGGGGAGTAAGTAACAGCAAAATATGTACTGTAAGAAAAGCTTTGCTTTTTCTTTCTTCTGAGCTGTTATAACGTTGATCCTACACCCCTAACTCTACCCACAATCTCCCTCCAGGGCATCCCTACCCTTCCTTCAAGACCTCACTTCCAGGTTCTCTCTCCTGTGGAACTTTCTGGTCCCTTAAGAGGTTCTGTGTTCTGGAAACAACCTTCCATCATCACCTTAGTTGTGATCATAAGCATAGACTCACGCTCCAGTGCAGCTGGGGTTCAACCCTAGCTCTGCCATTTACTGGTTATGTGACCCTGGGTGCACGCGTGTGTTGGGGGGGGGGGGCATTCTAAGCTCTTTGTATGTTTTCCCAGCTGTCAATATATGATAGAACCTACTTCGTAAGGTTAAATGAATTCAGTGCTTTTTACAGGTAAAGTCCATTTAAAGTAAGGTGACAAGATTTTAACATTGGTAAAGCGGGACATCATTGATAAAACTCATATCCTGGAAAAACAGCCACATGGCAGCCAAAAACCATATATTCTATCTTGTCGTGCATTCTTTCCAAAAATTGGGACTTTTTCAAAACGCCGCGGGACGCAGGAAAAATTGTTAAAAATTGGGACTGTCCCACCAAAAGCAGATCGTCTGGTCACCTTAATTTACAGACCACCAACTGCAGCATCAGAATGACTGGGAACTTGTTAGAAATGCAAATTCTCAGGTCCCAACCCAAACAGACTCAGAAATGCTGGTTTAGAGTCCAGCAATCTGGTTTAACAAGTTTCCCCAGGTGATTCTAATGCCCCCTAAACATTGGGTTGTTAACGGTAAGGTCAGATGAGGCTGCTTGCTCCCATCAAGACTTATAAAAACTCACAAACCTTCTACAGGGACACTGAGTCAGAATCAACATGACGGCAGTGGGAGTAAGCTCATATATTAAAGATGTAGAAACACTACGTAAGTATGACTGGTGACAACGATTAATAACGGATACTTGTGAGAAGTACCCAAGTACCACTTATGCCCAAACAGCAAACAAATCTGTCTTCTAAGAAGTACAGCCAGAATGCTCCTTAGAGGCAACGATGACGAGACCTCGTCTCCTGTACTTTGGGCATGTCGTCAGGAGAGACTAGTCCCTGGGAAGGACTTCGTGCTTGCTAAAGTAGAGGGGCAGCAAAAAAGAGGGAGACCCTCAACAAGATGGACTGACACCTAACCAAGGTGAGGCGGGCGGGCCCAGGGCAGGGTCGTGTTTCCTGCTGTTGTGCCCGGGCTGCTGTGAGTCTGACCAACCTGACGGCACCGAACCACAGGAGAAGGTGAGAGATACACGGTAATCCTTGTCTGGTCTATTTTCCTTTATCCTAGTTTTTCAATTGTGAACTACTTATTATTAAAAGTAAAATTTTTAAAGTAAATCAATGATTTAAATATTTGGGCAACTTTGTGCCTGTTTTCACATCTTTAAATGGTGATTATATGATGATAGGAAAAAAGGCATCTACATAAGTAAGTATGTATGCTGTCAAGCAATAGGCTCTAAGGATCCTAAGAAGAATTTTAAAAATCTAATCAACTAGAATTATCACACAAAGCCTCATAGGGAAAAAAAAATTTTGGGCCAGGTTTAAAAGAGGAAGTTATAATTACTTTTTAAAGAAAATAGTGGGGTGGACGTTGGAGGGTTTTCCAGACAAAGGAAATGATAAGAATAAAAAAATGCAGATGTAAAATCATGTAACCTATGGAGTTTTATCCCATTTCTGTGAGGCCACGGTGGAAAATTAGACATGTGAGATTTTAACGGTTCTGCAGAAAATATTCTGCCACTAGATGAAGACCGGCTGTGAGGGTGACTTGCTGACTCCTGCAGGCACCAGGGGCACAGGCAACACACACCACACACAGTGTGACCTCCTGAACGGAGCTGCGCCCCCCTTGGAGCTGTCACCCTGTCCTGGGAGGGTCTGAAGGACTCAGAGACAAGAGAAAGGGGCGGGAGGCGCAGCTCTGGAGAAGCCGAGGGAGGGTACACACTGCCCCCTTCACCCGGGGCCCATCAGAAAATAGCCAAGAAAAATTCTATCTCTAAAATGTTCAAATTGCTGAAAAATTGAAGAAAAATAAAAAAATACATAATCAACATTTTATTCCTAATTATTTTGATGTTACTATCTTTGACATTGATCATTATACTTTGATATTTTTTTAAATAAGGGGAGTGAGGTAAAGGAGTGGCCACTTTCAAGTAAAGATAAGAAATCTTGAATATGTTTCAAGTTTTTCGTCTCTATCTATGCAATATAGATTCTTTTACTCTGAGGGAAACAAAATACATACATACACAATTTACAGTTTTGCTCTTTACCTACAGAGTGCAAGATTTATCTAAAATATTTCAGTTTCAGTTTCCACCTAGGAAAAACAGGTGACTGGTTATTTTTACAATGCTAAGACTCTTTGAGGACCTCACTAGAGAGGTTTGGCTTGCAAAAGCCCCAGAACTTGTCTGATGATGCACAGAGGATGTTGTGCAAGGGCTGAGAATATGGGACTAGAAATAGCCACCACCATTAAGCTGTAAGAAAAATATTGAGATGTGAACTCAGCCAGTCATTTAGTCATTAAAAGAGCCCTTCCTCTCTTACGCTAGCCAAGCAGGTTGAGAAAAGCCATAAGAGGCCACCCACTCCCCTGAGAGCCAAAAGACGCTTCCACCAATGGCCTCGTGGCCTTGGGTCAGTTAACGACTGCTTGAAAGTTCAGCGTCTTCGTCCTGCAACGAGGATGCCCTCCTTGCTCTCATCTCCTCACACGGTGGTTGCAGAGATCAAACAACACAAAGAAAAATGATTTTCAAAACCGCAATGAGCTATATAAATAGCTTAATTAAAAACTCATTGTAAAATGAAGATTTTCTACTATCAAAAACCCAGCCAATTAATCACTCTTTCATAAGCCACGCAAAGCACCAAGCGATTTTCAAGAAGCGGGTATTTTTAACTGTGCTTTCATTTGAAAGATTTGGATGCTAAGAAATTAGCAATACAGACTTCTCTAATAGATTAGCAGGGGTCCTCAAACTATGGCCCACCCGGGCCACATTTGGCCTGCCGAGGACATTTAGCCTGCCCGCTGGGTGTTTTTGCCCCATTTTGTTTTTTTACTTCAAAATAAGATACGTGCAATGTGCATAGGAATTTGTTCATAGTTTGTTTTTTTTTACACTATATTCCGGCCCTCCAACGGGTCTGAGGGACAGTGAACTGGCCCCCTGTTTAAAAGTGTGAGGATCCCTGGATTAGGTGTTATATGAATACGGGCAGCCGGAGAAGGAAATGTACACTTGGAAGCTGTTATTGTATGTAGGGTCACTGTGGGTAGTAACAAAACTCAAAGGCAACCAATAACAAATATGTGACCAAGTGATAGGATTTTAAATGGCTATTAACCTGGTCGTGTAATGGTTACATGTGTGGCTGTGGTCTGCTTGATCAGCAGTTTGAAACCACCTGTGGCTCTGTGGTAGTTACATCATCTGTTGCCAATTTGAGACTTAAAAGTGAAGGGGTGGAGTTTAGCCTCTCAATGAGGTTTCAGCTTGATAACCTCATTTGGAGGTGCTAAGGAGATAAACAGCTCGCAGACAGCAGGACGCAGTACACTCCCTTCTAGGCATTCCTGTTGACAAGCCACATGGAGAGAGGTTGGTGGAGCCGGAGCCCTGGGGCTGAGGAGTCAAGTGGAAACCCATGCCAGCGCTGAGATGCTTCCACTGGACCCACAAGACGGTCCACCCACTGGCCTGTGATCTTCCTGCATTCGGTGTCATTGCATGTATTGCGTGAGTCTGAAGAAGAATTTATAGACTGGTAACGGACATATCGGATTTATGGACTTGACCTGGACCGGGCTGGGATGTTTTCTCAACATTCAATTGCTCTCGTATATAATGCTCTTTCTTATATACATTTGCTAGTCTACCCGGACTAACACAGGCTCCTGAGGAGAAAGCCTGGGCCTTCTACTCTCACAGTGTCTCAGAAACTCACAGGAGCAGTTCTACCTTACCCTACAGCAGTGGTTCTCAACCTTCCTAATGCCGCGACCCTTTAATACAGTTCCTTTTTTTTTTCACTTTAAAGATTGAGTCTTTAATGTTCTTTTTGATAATGAATGTAACACTATTCCTCCTGATTGTGTTATTCTTGCAATATTTAATCATATGATTTTCTGACCCAACATAAAATTATTTTCGTTGCTACTTCGTAACTATAATTTTGCTACTGTTATGAATTGGGTGACGCCTGTGAAAGGGTCATTCAACTCCCCAAAGGGGTCGCAACCCACAGGTTGAGAACCTCTGCCCTATAGGGTCACTATGAGTCAGTATTGACTCAGTGGCAGTGGGTTTGGTTTATTAAGCAATCACACAAGAAGAATCCTCCAAAGAGCCAAAATGAAGTAATGCAGTAAAGATGAAGTGATGTAGTAGCGCTAGTCACCAACCACGTGCACTAACCCAGTTGTCCACAGAAGGACGCTCCTCACCTGTACGCGGATGGTCAGAGCAGAGGGGAGGCCTGCAAGCACAGAAGAGACGGGCCAGGGAGGTAAGGCTACTAAGCTTTCACAAGGTCTCCATGACTGCGTCATTTTTAAGAGCCGCAGATAGTACAAGAATTAATGACACACAATAGGCATGCAGATATAAAGATGTAACCTATTTCGTCTTCGATTTCCTCATCGATAAAATGGGAGTAAAGACGTCCCCTCTGAGGAAAAGACTGAGTGAAACCTGGCGTGTGCCTGTTGATACACCCTAAGGGCATAGGAAGCACACCAAACAAATCCAAGTTAGTGCTGCTAGACCCAGCCGAGGATTTCACTAAGCATGTAGAACAGACCCAGAATTTAAGAGGGCTATTTATTGTGGGGAGTCGGGAGAGGGGAGAGGGAGGCAGAGAGAGGGGAAAAAATCATACTTACTTATCCAGTTTCTGACGTTGAGAAAACTTTGTTCATCTGTCAGATCAAAAAGCAGAAGAAATCCCATAGCATCTCTGAAGAATGCTGTTGTCAAGCTACGAAACCTAGGAACACAGAGAGCAGACTGGCCATCTGGGCTATGGTCCCACAAGAGAGAAGGCTACCAGCTATGTCCTCAACCTTTGACAAAAGTTTATCAATTAGCAATTAGATGATGGCATTTCAAAAGCTCGTAGTTAGAGTTATTCGTCACTTATCCAAGTTCATGTGTTAAGACCCCATGTGATTTGAGAACTCAGTCTGCTGGGCAGAGATGAGAATTAGCTCATGATGCCTTAGTCTCGGCCAAGAATTTACTGTTCCACTTGAAGTAAATTAGGCCCATGGCAGCAGCGGTGCTCGCGGTGAATGTGTTCCTTGTTTAGTGAAAACTAACTTCACATTACAATGTGTTCCGTGACCCTTTAATTTCAGTATCTACAGAAATAGTTTATCTTTGATAATCATCCTTGGGCTTTAAGGTTGGAATAATTTAAACTCAGCCCCTATGCTTCCTTGAAGTTTTCTTCTCAAAGCTTTATCTTGCTGTCTCCTGAATCTACCTGTCTGTTTCCTCTCTCTTGGCCTATTTGCAAAGCTTAGAACTGACATGTGTACTTGCCAGGGAAGAAAATTCTGGAATGATTTTGTCATCTAATAAGCTATGCTAGCTTTTCTCACTATTGTTTATGAAGCCAGTACTTATCTTTCAGAGTAAGGTGACCAGACATCCCGCTTTTTAACAATTTTTCCCACGATCCATGGCGTTTTTAAAAAGTCCCGATTTTTGGAAAGAATGCACAACAAGCTAGGGTATACGGTTTTCAGCTGCCATGTGGCTATTTCGCCAGGATATGAGTTTTATCAATGGTGTCCGCTTTACCAATGGTAAAATCGGGTCACCTTATTTTAGAGGCACATATCAGAATATTTACAAACTAAATAATGGAATTTCTGAAGTTTGCTCTGAAATAATCTTGGAGGTGAGATATGGTGAAGAATAGACATGAAATAAGAGTGACTTGGTAATTGTTTAAAATGATTAAAGGGTACATGAGTTCATTATACAGCTTCTCTATGATAGCATGTCCTTGATGCTTTCCGTAATAAAAAATGTATTCGTTGTGAAAGAAAACAAGCTCTAGCTAACGAAAAGCAATTTAACGTTCTGATCTCACATGCTTGATTTTGATCAAGCACCCTTTTGCCATAATACAAATTCAGTGCAACTGGATTTTCTTCAAGGTTTCACCTGGTGGGTGGAAAGGTGACATGTCACCTTGCAGCTTGTTCATGCTACTTGGATCAAGAAGAAAGCAAATGGAGGAAAGAGAGAAAAGTGTCCAAGTTAAAAAAAGTAAGAAATCTGTAAACCAAAGGTCCACTTTAAGAAAGATTCATTTTCCCTTTGACCTGGTTGGAAATAAAGCCCCCACTGTCATCGCAAACTGGTCACTTTCTTGTTAACTTGGCAGCCTCTCTCAACTAATTGGCTGGCATCCCGGCTGTCTTGCCCCTCTCCAGTAAGCACTCAGGTGAAGTTCACATACCTCTCCTGCCCTGCCGTGTCCCACAACTGCAGGTGGATTCGCTGACCTCTGCCGACAGCTCCATCCGGCCCATTGGCCCGGTACACCTAAAACAACATGGTGAAAGGGAGACCATCTGAGGCAGGTGAACGGGGCTCGCTTTTCTAAGTAACGGAACTCCTCTCAAAAGGTGTTTCTCTTTCTTCTAAAGAGAATTTCCTTTTCTTTTTTTTTTTGTTGAAAATATATATGTCACACAACTTTTTCCAATTCTATTTCTCATAGATGTACAACTGAATGACAACAATATTATTAATCATCCATGAAACCCTAACCTGAATTTCAGTATTCTATATACACTACATTCCATTCCTAGTAACCACAATTAAAATTTGGTACCTTTGGGAAAAAAAAAAAGAGAGAGAGAGAATTTCCTCTCAAATGCAGCCTTGCTTGTATTTTATTTCTAATAATTGCTAGTTGGCTTATCCTCAAAGTTTCATCAGTTCACTAGTTTCAGGAACTATGAGGAGGCTTCAGAGCATGGGTAGAAAAATGAGATTTAAAGAGAAGCCCGTTTGAAGCCCCTCCCTTGCCTCTCTCTGACTGCTCCCACTGCATCATGAACAAGCGCTCTTCAAACAGCACTCACTGTGGGAGCACTTCCAGAGGGGCAGGATAAGGACCTCCAGAAACAGAGGTCTCCAGAAGTCAATGAAAACACTGGCAAGGATTGCCAATATCTAAGTTTTAAGATCTCTGCAAATTCACAAAGACATTCAACACTCCAAGGAGCACTTACTCAAGAAAAACAACAAAATACAATAAGCTTGGCAGCGTTTTGAGGTCCCAAGTGGTGAAAACGCTTGTGCTCACGTGCTAGCCTAACTAGAGGCCGTCAGTTTGGCCCCACACAGAGGTACCATGATATGAAAAGGCCGACGATCTGCTTTCTGCTAAGACGACAGACGGGGACATCTGTACAAAGGCCTGATTGGTGGCAGATGAGGGGTGGGGGTGGTAATGGTTTTGCTACGACGACAATGTACCTGCTCACAGCGATTTGACAACACAGAGGAAGTGAAAAGAAAAACGAGAGAGGTACTGCCAGCCATCCAACAGATGAGTTTGGAAAATGTTTCCAAGAATGGAATCGCAGATTTGACAAAACTATTAAGTGTAATGGAGAGTACTTTGAAGGTGATAAGGTTGTTTTGTTTAAAAAAACAAACAAACAAACATAACTTTGAAAAAAAATTCCATTTTGGTTTTTTGGGGGGTACCCCTCCAAAGGGTATCTGCTTTTGCATGTCCCTCACCAACCCCCACCATCATTCCATCACCTGCAGGGGGCAGTATCACCCACTTTGAGAGCCTGTAGTTCTACTCTAACACAAGAGGTCGCCATAAGTCATAATGGACCCTACAGAAACTAACAACAGGACTAGTCCTCTCCCTAGCTCCATTCCAAACTGAAAACTCACAGCCATTGAGTCAATGCCCACTCGTAGTGACCTTAGAGGGTAGAAGAGAACGGCTCCTGTGGGTTTCTAAGACTAACTCTTCACAGGGTTAGACAGCCTCATATTTTCCCCACAAAATGGCTGGTGGTTTCAAACTGCTAACCTTGTGGATAGCAGCCCAATGCCTAACTCACTATCCATCAGGGCTCCTCCTAGGTCCCCAGTAGCCTGGAAATCCATTAGACTACCAGTCACTGTAGGCATGGAAGTGGAATGGGTTTGGAGCTCCCCACAAGTCCTGTGCCGGAGCACTGTCACTACTGGACCTGTCTAGAAGTCCCTTGTCTTGATTCAGAGTTCCCTCAATGAGAACAACCCTAACCCTAAGAAGGACATTCGTTGAAAATAATCAGCAGCAACTACTTAACACTACAGCTCATCTGAGGGAGCAGTGCCAGTTGAGTCTGACAAAAGGCTCACCCCAAAACTTGACAATCAAAAAGTGGGAAATGAGGTGCCAAAGACTTGGAAACTCCCCAAAATATTCTTGGAAACCAAGAAAATCATGCATATATATGCAAGACTGTCAGATCTCTCACTTCCCATTGATCTTGAAGGCTCTTCCTCAGGAAGCGAATGCTAAGGCAGTTATAAATTTCAACTGCCTGGAGCACAGAGCCCAAGCCTAAATGTCTTCCCAAACACAGAATTAACACCGATTCTTTCCAACTGCTTCCAAGATAAAGAAAAAGGAACAAACTTCACAAGAAGTCACAGGAAAAATTTGAAGCAAACAAACAGAAAAAACCCATACACTCATAGCCCTTCGGAGAAGTGTACAGTCCACTGCCATTGAGTGGATTCTGACTCAAAGTGACCCTTTAGCGGTTTTCTGAGGCTCTACATTTTTGCAGGAGCAGAGAGCCTCATCCTTCTTCTTGCAAAGCGGCTAGCTAGGTTTGAACTCTGACCTTGCAGTTAATAATCCAATGCTTATCCAACAATGCCACCAGAGCTTCCCTTCAGCAAACAGAAAAGATTGTACCCCATGACCAAGACGAATTTATAACAGAAATGGCAAGGTTGGTTTAGCATTAAAAAATCAACAATATATTAAACTTAGTATTGCAGAGTCAAGTCCAATTCATTTTGACCTGATAAAGTTTCCATGGTCAAGCCTCTTCTTTTTCACATATAGTGGCTGGTGGGTTTGAACCACTGATCTTGCACTTAGCAACCAAATAAGTAACCGATTATACTACCAGGACTCCTGTAATATACCATGTCCATATAATAAAGAACTAATGGTCATCTCAATTGATACAGAAAAAATAGTATTTGATAAAAATCTAACCACCTATGATATAAAATCACTCAATAAACTAGGACTACAGGGAAATTCCACAATCTGACTTCTACCCAAAACTTCACATCTAATCTATATCCTTTAAAAATATTTTTCTATAATCTTTCATTTTTATTTTTCCATAAACTTAACATTTTTAACAGTTTCATTGGCATATAAGTCACATTAAGAAGAGTTGTCCACTCATCACCACAATCAACTTAAAAACACTTTCTTCTTTCTTGTACTCATTGCTATTAGCTCCCACTACCCCCAAGACACCATTAATCCAGTTACTGTCTCTATAGATTTACCTCAACTGGACTTCATATCCAGAAAAACCTACCAAAAAAAACCCACAATAGTAACAAAGTAAAATGAAAAAACCCTTAGCCAAAATATTGAACACTAGAACAAATTTAAAATGAGTCAAAAGGAGATCAAATAGTGACATATGAAAACCTAACTGTATCTGCAATAATCTACTTTCCAGATGATGTTTCTGTGAAAATGTACAGCCTTGGAAGAAATGCTATGGAGGAGGTCAACACTGCTTACAGTCACTCACCAGGCGCTGGAACCCACCCAATGGGTGCAGGTAGGGTTACCTCCTCTAAGGTTTTGTTCTTGCACTGCCAGAACATTGTATAGAAACTCAGACCCACATTGTGCTACAGCACCCATATCTTCAGTGATCTCTTTATGAGGTTGAACATCAAGTAGGGCCTGTCATAAGAACTAATTGTTTTTAGACTGGGGCTAGAATTAAGTGCCCCAAATTCACTCGTATATCGACAGTTTATGTTATTTTCTGGTGTTTTTTTGTTTGTTGTTGTTGTTTTTTATCTTAGCCAATCTAATGAAAGTGAAATGATACTTCCCTGTGAATTTGATTTGCACCTCTCTGATGACTGATGACTAAACATTGGGCTCCTAACTACAAGATCAGTGGTCCAAACGTACAGCTCTTCAGCAGGAGGAAGATGTGACTGCCTGCTCCCATCAAAACAGACTTCCTCAGACATTCTGTCTGTGAGTTGCAGTCAACTCAATGGCAGTGGAGTTGCTTTGGCTTGGGATGGTTAATGATGCTGAGCATCCTTTCATGTGTTTGGTGGCCATCTAAATGTTCTCCCTGGTGAAATATCTAGTATCCAAGGTCTTTGTCCATTTTATAATTGGGTTATATGTCTTTTCATTGTTAAATTAGGGAAGTGATACGTGTGTGTGTTATTAGATTTTTCGGATACTGGGTTTCTGAAGATATTCTCAGACTGACCATAATATATCATGTATAATAAGTACCATGACATTTTAGATTATAACTTTTGTCCTCCTAATTCCTAAAACGCAAGCCAAATAGACAGGCAAATATTGGCACAGGTATTAAAATTTTAAATAGAAGGATACAGAACTTACCACTCTTTTCTCCCTGAAATCAATGCCCACTGTTGTGATAAACTTGGAGTTAAATTTTCCATCCGTGTATTGGTAAAGTACACTAGTTTTCCCTACTCCAGAGTCTCCCAGAGCTAAAAACTTGATGAGGTAATCGTAGTCTCCATCAGACATAATGACGGGCTCAGTGGTTCACCTGCAAAACATAAACCAATGTGTATTTATTAACAAGCCATGGTTAGAGTTCTCTATGAATACATTCAATCAACAGACATTTCTATGTAACTACCTATGAGTTCTGTGAAGAGAGAATTAATTGTTGTCCATTGTCTCAGAAGACCTAATAATTGGCTAAGTGACATAGAACTAAAATCATTCACTCTCATTTTAATCCAGCTCTAAATGCTGTTAAGACAAAATTCCAAGTGACAATAATCAACAAAGCGATAACCGTCTCTAAGCTTTATTTACAGGCAACAGAGAACAAAAACTAATAGAAAAGTTAATATAATGAGGTAAATCATAATTCTTAAAGTACAAGTCGTTTCAACTTTTCCTGCTTCAAAGTCTCCTGCCACTGGAGCCCTGACTGGTTTTTTACATGATCCAGTCAGTTCTTTTTATCCAACTGATTGTCACATGTTTTTGTAACTCCTTTGTACATTGTTATTAATATATCCATATATATTAAATTAGATTTTAAATTATATATTCAAATTAGCTTATCACTCCTCATCCGGAACTACACTCCAGATTTAACAGTCGATGTGAAACCCTACTTTCTGGGAGTCAGGGTTCACTCGCGCTGCCGTGCCGTTTTAACAAGAAAGGCTGGGAGCTCGTCTCTTTTATACTAAGACAAAATTCCACCTCAAGAAACAAACAAAACTTGTTTTTATCAGCAATTCATAACCATGGTTATTTATTTATCTGCTCCTTTGCTGCCAGCACATTTCATGATTTGTTTTCATCCTTTAAATAGATTCAAACCTAAAATATTAATCCAACTGGAAAAGTAGACTGTCTCCAAAGAAGGCTTATTTCTTTTTATCCTCCCATCTTGAACATCAATAAAACCTTCCGAATACCAGGGGAGTAACCAGCTATTCCCTTCTGCTGACGCCTCTACCTGTCGGCGCAGACAAACACCCAGCCCTCCACACCAGCCATCTGCTCCCTGCCGGGTTTTCTTCTGTGTGCTCCTCTCTCCCAGCCCCCCTCAAACGCTTGCTGCAATGCTCAATGGCTCCTATTTGGACAGCTTCCTTTTTTAAAAAATCGAAGCTCAGGCCAAAAATAATCCATTTACAGGTTTTTCAAGGTTACTCCTCGGCTCCATCCTCAACATGGTGACTTACCTTCTGTCCTCGAACTCTGAATGCTGAGCCCTGCAAGCTGCTGCACCTACTTCTCCAGAACGCCTCCCGGCAGACCTGGGACTCACACCCCCGGATACGGCTGGTCAGTCTGTAAGGGCAGAGCCTCTACAAACATTCCTAGTTCTATTTGCCCACTATAAAGACTGCCACTCTACAGACGGTGCCTCTCTAGGTAAAGCTCCTGTGTGCACAGGCACACATGGCCAGTCTTCATGGGTTGGTTATGGTCAAAATCCTCTCCAGAAGACGGCAGCGTGGGTATAAACAAACATTCAAGTATATCGTCGTCTCATAGAATATCATTCGGCCTCAACGTATTCACAATGAAAGAAGAGACTTGAAAGAAGGGTTGGAAACAGTTCATTGCTTTGAGGGGGTTCCCCTCAAATGACCAAGTGAGGAAGCAGGACACAGTTCTGTGATGGAAATTTAACAAGAAGGCACGGTGACAACCTTCCTTTTCTTCTTGACTTTTATTTGAAAAAGGTGTCATTTCTATCACTGTGCTTTTATGCCATTTAAGCTACAAGAGGAAACGATGTCAGGAATGGCATCAAGTACTTGAGATGGCGCGAAACCCACTTGAGTAGAATTCAAAGATGTAGGTGAAACTGCCTCTTGTTATACCGACCTTTCAATGTGGTGAGCTTTCACGGGAGAAGAATCACCCATTTCAGTTTACAAATGATATTCGTGTGTTTGCTTGCTGTACCCAATAGTAAGAATTCATAACAGTTTGCTCCCAAACCAAGTCCTCATAAAAGAAGTGTTAACAAACCACATACCACAAACTGAAGTTGGAAATACCACCATCAAGGTTAACCATCATTTGTACTCTTTTCCTGGTCTGAAAATAAACGCCCGCTATCTTTCACTCTCTGGATTAGACCGATCCCATTAGTCTCCTATCCGTAGTCCAATATCCTTTATTTTGCCCCTGCTTCTTGCCGATTATGTGGTTTTTGACAAATGTGTTCTGGTCTTAAAAGTGACCAGTGGCATTACATGGTGGAACAAGTTAGCACATGATCTCTGAAGTAAAGTAAGAGACAAGTTTGATTCCCAAGTCACCCACATGCCTGGTACGGCATGTCTCTGAGCCTGAAGTTTCCAGGTGTCCATCTTTAAGAAGAGATTGACACCCCGCTGCCTCACCCAGGTGTTCCAGGGGTTGAATGAGGTAAAGGGACAGCACAAAACTTGGCAAATACTGGGCACTGTAAAGGTTACCTCACTTCATTCTCCCAGTTCTGGACAGATCAGACTGGTTATGAACCTCAAACAATTTCTGAAACTCAAAACATATCTTTGTAGCACAGAAGATTGCTGAGGTTCCAACAAGTTTTCTGAGTCCTCAAAGATAATATTGAAATGAAATCTGATCTTTTGTGGCTGGTTCAAACCATTCCCCATCCATTTAAAATCGATGGATACACCTAGTCCAAAGAGTCCTGCCCAACTTAAGAATCATTTTGAACCAGTAGAGAACACGCACTCCATTCTAACCAGCACACTTGTGTTCAAAAGAATCTGACAGAACCACGTTGGCCCTGACCAGTTAAATTCACTGACTGGGGCGTAGCGGACTCTACAGGACAGAGTAGAACTGCCCCTGTGGATTCTTAGATTGTAACTCATGACGGGAGTAGAAAGCCATGTCTTTCTCCCAACAAGTGGTTGGTGTTTTCAAACTGCTGGCCTTGCAGTTAGCAACCCATTGGGTAACCAGTATACCACATGCTCTAAATTTATCACAGCCCTCCCAACTTCTTCAGTCATCCATATGGTAGATTTCCCTGGGTTAGAGTAGTATAACTGATACAAAGGTATCTGAAGCAATCATTTCAGTTGATTTCAATTGATTCATTCAAAGCTGTTGAAGACCAGGAAGATAATCTGACAATCAGAAGTGATTGTTTGGGGTTCTAACTTTGCTCCAAAACTTGAGTTTAAGTTAAATAGACTTAAATTTTCACTTATCAATTACCTCAACTGTGGATAGTCTGTACCCAAAAGTTTATCACCCAACCCCACTGCTGTTGAATCGAATTCGGCTTCACGGCAACCCCACAGAACAGAATAGAGCCACCCCATAATTCCCAGGGTGATAGTCCTTACAGAAGCAGACTGCCACGTCTTCCTCCCAGGGAGCGGCTGCTGGGCTCATACCACCAACCCTTCTGTTTGTAGGGGAAAGTGTCATTTAATTCTACATGTGAATTTTAAGTTTGTTGTTTTGGAGCAAAGTTAGGAGCACCCAATGGTCACGGGAAGGGCTCTTAATGGTCGTTACATCTTTCTTGTTTTAAATGGCTTTGCGCTTGTAAGGTTAAGGACAGTAAACAGGCTTGGAGAAAGCAGTAGTAGCAAAGGAGAATATGGGTTGCTGTTGTTTCTAATTGGCAAAGGTATGTGAGAACTCACTTTCCATTTGATCTCAAGGATATGGAAACAACAATGTGAACTACGATCCCCAAACAAACAACAACTGGGGAAAACGTTTAGCAAATTTGGAGGTGTGTAGTCGTTGGTGTCACCGAATTGGTTCTCTTGGCAGCCCGAGTCCAGAGAAGCCTCTCTTTGCAGGGTTTTCAGGGCTGTGGCTTTTCAGAAGCAGGTCACCGGACCTTTCTTCCAAGATGTCTTTGGCGGAGGTAGTGTGTCCAAACTGCCAGCCTTTTAAAGAGTAGGCGAGGGGTTATTGTATCTGTTTGTGCCACCGAGAGGCTCTTAAGTTTGTACAGCATTTGTCCCAAACTGGCCATACTGACTGGCCTGGTCTGAAGAGAGACCAGAATCCTAATGAGTAAGGAGTCTTGCTGGCAGAGTGGTTACCCAACGGGCTGCTAACTGGAAGGTCAGCAGTTGGAACCACCAGCGGCTGCACAGGAGAAAGACGGGGCTTTCTACTCCTGTAAAGAGTCCCAGTCGAGGGAACTCACAAGGACAGTTCCTTCCTAGCCTATCGCGTCACTGTGTGCCGTTGTCAACTTGGTGGCAGGGAGAGTCTGGGTCGATGGAAGCTACAAGAAAACAAAAGATTTGGGAAGCAAGCTGCTCCTCAGTGTGGCAACAGAGACTAGCATTTGGGTAAGGTCCTAATCAGACTCATCTGAGCCTGCAGCCCAGTTCAGTAGAGCCAGGAATTAAAGGAACCAGATATTAAAACTAGCTCATAGCAGACTACAGCACCAAACCCACCCAACAGTTCAGAACTCATAGGCAAATTGTTTACCAATAGGTAAAAAAAAAAAAACTTATCTAATGTTAACTCTCACTAATGATAGAGCCAGAGCTAGCTTCGCATTTTAAGATATTTTTCCTTTCTTTGTCACTCAAGTCCTCAGTGTTGCTTCTGGGGACTGTTCTCTAGAAGCAAACGATTTCATTCCCCTAGTATAGAACGTAAAGGACGCATTTGAAATGTGGTGCCAGGGAAGACTGTTGAAAGTACCACGGACTGCTAAAAGGATAAACAAGTTGGTCTTGGAAGAAGTACAGCCAGAGTGCTCCTTAGAAGCAAGGATGGAAACACTTCGTTTTTCATACTTTGGACAGGTTGTCAAGAGAGATCAATCCCTGGAGAAGGACATCACGAGGAAGGGCCTCAACGAGATGGATTGGCACAGCGCTCCAGCACAGGAACAAGGGTGAGGATGGTGCAGGGCCAAGGTGTGCATCAGGCCACTATGGGTCAGGGCTGACATGATGGCAATTAACAATACTTATAGAACTCAAAGAAGAGACTTGTATGTTGCCATTTTAAAGCAGGAGAAGAAATAAAAGTGAGGGCACACAGGGCCAGAATTTGGCATTT